ACTGGCATCAGATGCAAGTAAGTGCAGTTAGAATGATAACTGAAATAGTCCTAGTGATCATAATAAATCCAAATAGAAAGTTGCCGTGTTACGGTATGAGATGTTTTAGAAAAATCTTTTCACCATGACAGTCCAGTTTGGACATATACTTTATCCCAGCTAACACCTCCCTGCACCCCCAAAAAGAAAGGTTTCAACATCAAGCAATGTTCTAACTACAACGGCAAAAAACCTACCATACATCTTGTTAAATAATTCACCTGTCCTATTAATACAGCAGTGATAAACTGCAGCAGGAAGTAATAAGATAAATATGTGTTATCTTGTCTARTCTCCCAGCAGAACATTTTATAGCATAACCTTAAATCTAATTCAGTTTTAAATATTAGGGGTGTTTTCTCTTGACATCTTGCTTTGTATTTTCCTGAGATCTCAAGAATTAAAGACAACCAGCAACAGGTCACAGAGCTCCTTATATTCACAGAGCTCTGTTAGGCTGAGCTTACTAGCAAAGACCACCAACAGCTATAGTTTTTCATCCAAATAAATCTTCCAAGCCGTGCATGAAGAGCAAGTTACAAACATTACATTTATAGATAAATTAATATAATAGAGCTCCTGCCAACAACTTACTCCTGAATAGGATTTTCTTTTAAATAAATTAAAAATAACCATGCTTAGAGATTGCCATAAGTGKTTTTCATGTCATCACTTGCTAGCTGCCAAGAGTTGATGTTCATGAGTCTCCTCTCCTCTTTTCTATTCCTTCTTTGTACTGTKTAAGAGAAGAAAAATCTGATATTTCACCCATACATGGGAGATGCCTGTGCAGTAGAATAAAATTGGAACAAAGAGAAAACTTAGATGTTTTGTCTTAACCTGCTGCAATCTTTTTTTCTGCACTAAAGAATTCCTTGTTCTTTGTATTCCCCTTCCTCTTCTGAAAAATAGATTTTTTTTTCTAGATTTCCTTTGGTCTTTTTTTCTGTATTGTGCCATATGCACAGTGCAGCCTCTCTCTGTACGTGGGTGTTCAGCAGTCAGGCTGTCAGTCACTGCTGCAGGCTCAGCAGCTGAGGGCTTTTAGTGTGGGATTCAGTCACCACCTTGTTCAGGGGGGTGCAGACCCCACAGATCCCAGTGACCACAGTTCATAGGGTGAGCACGGTGTCTTGGAGGACAATTTGGGATGAAGTCCTGCTGATGATCTGATTTTGGCCGCCGATTTTAGAACAGCCTGAATTTTGTACTGAATTAACAGCACCTCGAACGTTGTTGCTTATTTGCCTCATTACCAGTCCTCACACTTCCCAGGACTTCAGCTGGCACAGTTAAAGCTCCTTGTAGCCACTGCCCGCTGCTGAGGCTGTCTGATTGTTCCAGCCCCGTGGGATGCAGTTTATTTTATCTCCAGGGCTCCACGATGCTGATGCAACACAGATGTTTAAAGCATCTCCCGTTTTGGGGTTTGCAGTACTAACCCTGTCCCGGTGGAACAGCACCCCTGCCATTCCTGGGACCCACATGGGTGTGCAGGAGGGTCCCCCACCTCCTGCCACAAAAACCTGGCTCCCCAGAACCAGCTGGAATCTTGCTTCAAGATCCCAGACGCCTCATTTCCTTTAATAGCCCACTTAAGACGCGAGTCTCGAAATATTTTTTTCTGTGTTTATTCCGAACACGTTGTCACAATAGCATCTTCATATTCCTTTGGTGCAAACAAAAAGCTCCTTATATGTGAGCAGTGCAAGATGTCAGCTGTACTTTAAAGCAAACAAACAGCAAAAACCACCACACCTCTGAGAACACTCAGCTCCACGGCCTTGGCTCCCACAGGTCTCCCACACCCAGCTATTACTGCTTTGCACTTGAGCTGTCTAAAGGGTCAAAAAGCTTTGGTTTTCACAAAGGGTTACTCATGAGACAGGCTCCTATTAAGAACATTAAACAGGTCGCCGTGATTCTGGAAAAATTATATATTGTGGTGCAAATGAAGAGAAGTTCCATGTTTACTAGCTCTACCCTAGTGAAATTTCCAGTTTTGCTCTAGCRATGACTAGTCAGATTCTTTTTCTTGTCCTGTAGAAGAGCTTTTGAGAACTGAATAGGTAATCTTAAAATAGAACATTGTTCTCATTTTTAATGTCCACCTATTGAGAGGTTGGGTTTTAAAAAAAGCCTCAATAGAGTAGTGGTCTCCTTTGCCTCAGCTCTTTCATGGGCATCCTGCCACATGAAAGAATGATCCTCCATGTCATCTCTCAGAGTAACATTTCACAAAAATCCAGGTCATCACCAGCAGAACTGATTTTGCAGTGGGTTTGGAAATTCTGCAAAAAGGAGAAATTCTTCATTTGGTGGGCCTTGTCCTAGGTTCCCTGGATGAAACAGGGAGGAATTTTGCCACACAGCTTTTGTGTGACACTGATACAAACCTTTCTACAAGCCACTAAGTCACAACATGGATTTCCATCTTTATTTTAATGTAACTGTTATGTTTCACTGTTAATATAAGTTGCCTATATGGTGTTCGAGACAATACAGATTATCCTCCTGAAGTTTAGTGTGGGGAAAAAACTGTTGCTGGTCCCTTCTCTGGGTTTCCTTCCACAAAAGTCAAAAGGCATTTGGCCTGGGAAAGAGAACAGCTCGTACTCCAAGCAGAGCTCTAAACTGATGACAGGGGTTTTGGTTTGGGGTTTTTTYCCAAGAATTGACAGTGTGAAACCTACAACTTTGTATAATGCCAAGGATAACAAAATTAACATGACCATATCATTAGGCTTGYATCCATAAGGGCAGTGGGAGCCTGATGATGGCTCCAATACATCTTCAATAGGGCCCAGAACTTACCCTGGAGCTCTTAGCACAAAAATGTTAACACATTTAAAATTGTCTGATAAATTACCTGAGCTCTACCCTGGACAATAACTATACACTTAGTAAGAAACCCAAAGGATTTAAGCATTATTTACTGTAGTAAAACAACCTCTACAGACATGAATAATTTTTCTAGAGCTGTAATATTATTTGATTTGCAGTGCATAACAAGTTTTTTTTTCTGCAAATTGTTTATCATGCTATGTGAGCTGTCTGTGGTTTTGTGATGTTAATCTTTGAAGCCAGTTTCATAGTTTAATCACTGTTTTACAGAGGTAAATGTCATTGAAAAGCTAATATATTCTTGTAAATACAAAATTAATTTTCAAGTGTAATGAAGATATTTAACAATTGTTATTTGAGGCATCAGTAACATGCTTATGTGATATACAGTGCAAGTWGGCATTGTTTAACCTTTTGCAGTATTACACATTTGACAAATATTTATCACAACAAAAGGTATACTTTGCCCCAAGGGATATTTGTGTGAAAAAGGAGGGGTTTAGTTTATCGAAACCTTGTTTTGATTCTGTATAGAATGTTCCAA